CACCCACACCCACACCCACACCCACACCCACACCCACACCCACACCCACACCCACACCCACACCCACACCCACACCCACACCCACACCCAGCTCGGTTGTAATAACATTATATGTTTTTAAAGTAAATGAAAGTTTTGAGCTCGGAAATCAATTTATACTCTGAAAAGATAAATGAGCTCGGTTAATTTTATTTTTCTCGTTAAAAAGAGAGAAATGAGCTCGGTAATTAATTTATGAAAATTAATTAATGGGTGTGGGTGTTGGTTCGCATCTGCTGGTAGATCAGAAAAACACCCACACCCTCTTACAAACAGCTGAACGTATGCTGTACAACTGGTCATTAGCTAGTATCAGTACACCATTTGCGATTCAAATCGAATTTAATGATGATTTAGCAGCTATGGCATATAAATGGTTACAAAAACTTGATCGAACAAAAGCGTTACATTTAGGCGCAGCTAGTTACGTTGTACCTTCCTCTGAATCAAAAATGGATACATTATTATGGATACGACATTACCATAGTATATCTTGGAATTCTTACCATGAATTTATCAACTTGTTAAATTCTGCGCGTTTACTTGATTTTTCTCCTTTAACTCCACCATTATTTTGTTCATGTAAATATGGCCTCAAAGAATATTCTTGCATTCATTCTTTGGGTTAATTAATGATGTGGTTTCATCGTAAAATTCCGCAACATCTTGGGATAAGAAGGGGAAAAGGTCGCCACAGAAAGTTAAATTATCTTTAACAAAAGACTGAAAATCAGTAAAAATCAAATTGTAAACTAGCACTTTCTTTGTGAAACACGATCTGAAAGGAGTGTTGAAGAGTTTAGGGGTAGAAATTTGCACCCCCCCTTCCCCCTCCACGGACAGTGACAGACATTCACGTCACCCATCACAGACCGTGACAGACAGCCTAATTAATTAATTAACTAGTATTTATTTATTTAATTAATTAGTATTCAATTAACTAATGAACCGTCACAGACCGTGAAAGACCGCCTTTGGACCCATCACAGACCGTGACAGACAGGCTTTGAACCCATCACAGATCGTGACAGACAGGCTTTGGATCTATCACAGACCGTGCCAGAGAAACTGTAGTCCAAAAGCATCAGATAAACGATTAGCTAAAAATGTATTGCAAAGAAATTGAACAAAACGATTTCCATTTAATTAGTAACAACAGATCCATCCTGTTTCACATTTTTAATCCCGCAAGAGATTGCGCTAACAGCTTTTTTTGTAAAACGCGATCTGAAAGGAGTGCTGAAGCGTGTAGGCGTAGAAATTAGGACCCCCTCCCTCCTCCCCCACAGACCGTGATAGACACTCGCCTCATCCACCACAGACCGTGTCAGACATCTTAATTAATTAGTATTTAATTAACTAATTAACCGTCAGAGACTGTGACAGACAGGCTTCGGATCCATCACAGACGGTGAAAGACAGGCTTTGCACCCGTCATAGATCGTGCGAGACAGGCTTTGAACCCATCACAGACCGTGACACACAGGCTTTGGAGCTATCTCAGACCGTGACGGACAGGCTTTGAATCCTTCACAGATCGTGACAGACAGACTTTGGACCCATCACATACCGTGACAGACAGGCTTTAGACCCATCACAGACCGTGACAGACAGGGCTTTGAACCCAACACAGACCGTGAAAGACAGGCTGTGGACCCATCACAGATCGTGACAGACAGGCTTTGTATTCATCACAGACCGTGAAAGACCGGCTTTGGACCCATCACAGACCGTGAGAGACAGGCTTTCAACCCATCACAGACCGTGGCAGTGAGGCTTTGAACCCTCCACAGATCGTGACAGACAGGCTTTGTATCCATCACAGACCGTGACAGACAGGGCTTTCAACCCATCACAGACCGTGGCTGTCAGGCTTTGAACCCTTCACAGATGGTGACAGAGAGGCTTTGGATCCATCACAGACCGTGACAGACAGGATTCGAACCCTACACAGATCGTGACAGACAGGCTTTGGATCCATCACAGACGGTGAAGGACAGGCTTTGAACCCGTCACAGCTTGTGAGAGACAGACTTTGAACCCATCACAGACCGTGACACACAGACTTTGGATCTATCACAGACCGTGACGGACAGGCTTTGAATCCTGCACAGATCGTGACAGACAGACTTTGGACCCATCACATTCCGTGACAGACAGGCTTTAGACCCATCACAGACTGTGACAGACAGGGCTTTGAACCCATCACAGACCGTGGCTGTCAGGCT